TCAAACCTATGTTTACCGTTGTCACCTGCACGGTGGGACTTATTATGGGACTTATTAAAGGACTTATTTACACACACAGAGCAGATCTTCCACAGCTTCCTGATACAAGAAGCCAAGACCACCTGCGTCTGAGATGGACAAGTATATGACCCCACAACCATTCACAAGAGAGAGAGAGGAGACGTCAAGATATCCACACCATAAGGGAAAGCCAACTACAGGAGTCGGAGTGAGAAAAGGATTTGGGAGTGGAGATAATTCCAGGAGCAGCACACACACAAACAGGGTGACATTGGCGCCGTAAGAGATGCTTGTAAACATTAGAACTACACAGTCCTTGTTAGACCAATATGTAGCACCGGTTTGGAATCCACACCTTGGACTAATTAATCTATGAGGATAGCTTAAGGGAATTAGACCTTTGTAGGGGAGAAACAGAGGGGGGACATGAGCGTAACATGAGGTAATTAGGAAAATTAGAAAGACATGAAGCTGGAGACGCAAATGGACCACTGGTCCACTGGTACACCGGTCCACCAATCCACTGGTCCACCAATCAATATCTACCGGAGCTGGATCTGGCTTTTTGGCCTCCAAATCTTGGCAACAGGTAATTGTTTTATCTGACGTTATTACATACCACTGCTGTACTCTCTCTCCTGTAACCGTGGGTGGAGGCGACAGCCATGTAACATCTCTCCGCCCGTACCTGCGAGGAACGGGCGGACGGACAGATGGCTGGCTGGCTGTTGGAGCTCAACCCCAGCAAGTGCAATGTGCTGCGAGAGAAAGATCTGTGGAGCCACAGGAAGGAAGAGGAGGCAGACATGACATACGATCATCAACACAGCGGTCAGCATCACAACACCAACCTCACTGCCTACTGGACACCGACCTTCGGACGCTCCCTATAATACGTAGTAACGGTAGAGATGGCAACGGCAGCCAGTGGCCATGGTGGCAACGGGCAACAACGGCAGCGAGTGCCAACGGTAATATCTGGTAAAGGTAATAACTGAAAATCCCAATGATTAGGAACAGTAATTAGTGACAAGGTGAATAAAGCAACAGGTCATCAAATGCCACAGGCAGAAGGGTGGCATCAGAGTGCCAACAGTGCCATGCTTAAGGGCAGCATCAGTGCCAACAGAGCCATGCTGAACGGTAGCATCCGCAACAAGAAGCAACGTTGTAGGTTAAGTAGTAACAGTTGCCGTTACAAGACAAATGCAGCTACTTATGTTAGACGTAACAGATCCACTGACCCTACATCAACAGATGCACTGATCCTACATCAACAGATGCACTGATCCTACATCAACAGATGCACTGATCCTACATCAACAGATGCACTGATCCTACATCAACAGATGCACTGATCCTACATCAACAGATGCACTGACACTACATCAACAGATGCACTGATCCTACATCAACAGATGCACTGACACTACATCAACAGATGCACTGATCCTACATCAACAGATGCACTGATCCTACATCAACAGATGCACTGACACTACATCAACAAATGCACTGATCCTACATCAACAGATGCACTGACACTACAACATCAACAGAATGAACAACAATAACGGTACAACAACAATAACGGTACAACAACAATAACGGTACAACAACAATAACGGTACAACAACAATAACGGTACAACAACAATAACGGTACAACAACAATAACGGTACAACAACAATAACGGTACAACAACAATAACGGTACAACAACAATAACGGTACAACAATAACAGTAGCAACAGGAAAAGATCAACTGAGAAGGGAGAGACCTCTCGTGTCTTGACATTGAGGTCAACCTCATGATTATTGTCATTAAGACTGTGTGTGTGTGTGTGTGTGTGTGTGTGTGTGTGTGTGTGTGTGTGTGTGTGTGTGTGTGTGTGTGTGTGTGCTCACCTAATAGTGTGTGTGTGTGTGTACTCACCTAATAGTGTGTGTGTGTGTGTGTGTGTGTGTGTGTGTGTGTGTGTGTGTGTGTGTGTGTGTGTGTGTGTGTGTGTGTGTGTGTGTGTGATATATATATATATATATATATATATATATATATATATATATATATATATATATATATATATATATATATATATATATATATATATATATATATATATATATATATGACAATGTCAGACCACGGAGGAAAATGAAACAGGAATTTCCTTAAGTACTTTCGTATACGTATTAAATACATCTTCAGAAGGAATATTCCTTCTGAAGATGTATTTAATATACGAAAGTACTTAAGGAAATTCCTGTTTCATTTTCCTCCGTAGTCTGACATTGTCATATATATATATATATATATATATATATATATATATATATATATATATATATATATATATATATATATATATATATATATATACTTGGGTACCTGTTTACTGCTACAAGAGAAACATTAGGGGAAAGGAAACATGTCCAACCAGTTCTGCCCCGCTCGGAAAGCGAACCCGCGATCTCCGATTTTGAGCTAAGAATGAAGCCAGTGCATTATCATGCTTGAGTACAGAGTGGAGCTGAAGGTGTGTTGGCTAAAGGAAGAAATGTGTTGAGGAAGATATTACAGATGTGGCGACTACGAGAAGATGAGGGAATTCCTGTGTGAAATCCAATAGGATGGCGAAGTAGAAGGGGGAAGACACCACTTGAGATGATGGGATTCATTCCTTGGAAACGTATGCCCGAAACGCCGTGCGTATTAGTGGCTTTAGGTATTGTATGAACTATTGTACATACATAGGTCTTGTATGAATCGACTTGAGAATGGTCCAGGACGGACCGAAACGTCGTCGTCCCTTCACCTTCTAGTGTGTGGTCTGGTCAACATACTTTAGCCACGTTATTGTGACTCATCGCCGGCATTGTATGTACTAGCTCTATCAATAAATCCAACATTATGTTTGTTGTATAAACTTTTATTTATGTACCTGAATAAACATTTTTAATTTTGATTTTTTTTAATGTGCCGATGTAATGGAGTAGTTCATACCATGTAACACCCCATGACCTCCCCCCCCCCTTAGAGTTCACACCCAGGGAAGCCTTCTCCAAGAGGTCAGCCCAGATGACCTCCGGTTTATCTTGTATATTGATTAAAAATTCCTGGGTTAGTCTTAGTCAGCATAGTTTCAAGTATGTAATATTTCATGCAAGGAAATTAGACTCCAGATTCTTATGTGTAAACATCCCTGGATCTCCCCCTTTTGGCCAGGTCAGAGGTCAGCCACACACATAATTAATAACTCCTCTCTTGAAGAGTGTATGGTGAATGTCAAAACAAGCTTATTGAAATATTTCTTGAGTGTTTGTACATTCTTGGTGGGTAGCAACAGCAGATCTCCCCCTCCCCCCTGTGGGGGTTGTATATAGAGGTCCTGTAGGGACTTAGGAAGCAGAGTGCCGGACACCGGGGCCCAGAGAGGGCTGTGAAGAACATCTCAGCCAGGGAGAGACAGAGGTCTTAAGGTAACGTGTGTAATCTCTGAGGTTTTGTTCCATGTGCAAATTACTTAAATTTTTGCCAGTGTTAGAGTAGGATTTATAAGTGGTGATTGACATAATTTTGGTCTCAATAAAACTCATGTTAAATTTCCCGTCTGTGTCAATTGTTGAATCCTCTTAGCCTTTTGGATATAGTGGCTGACAACCGTTTCCATAATTAATGACAGTCATAGAAAGTACTCTCCAAGTCAAGCAATGTTTCTTGCCTCGTTGCTTGATATAGTCTCAATGGTCAAAGGCAGATGGTGGCAGCGTATTTCATCCTGTGTTAGCATCTCCTTGTTGGCAGTGTACTTTGTAGTCCCGGTGTAACCATCATATGTCAGCTCATAACAGTGTTACCAAGTGCAACCAATGGGGAAGTGTTACTCAGGATAAGTAGTGTTTACATTATTAGTTTAGTGTTCCATTATAGTGGTGCACTTTAGAGTGGTGACACAATAGAGCGGTGTTACAACCACTCAAGAATAAGACGAACAAGAATAAGCAGAGAAATTAAAGAAAGGGACATAAAAGGCTGGACCAACTCCAGAGAACTAGAAACATGTGACAATTGAGTGGCAGTAAAGAGATCCAGAAATGAATACACTCAAGAAAGAAGTGAAGGTGAGAGGCAGTTTGAAAATCACATGGCAGCAACAGCTAAGGACTTCCCAAGGCTGTTCTGATTTAATTCACTGTGACAGGGGGACAGGAAGCCAGAGTGTATTCATACAAAAACAAGTGAGAGACCATGTACTCAGGTTCAGGACACAAGGGTGAATTCTAACCAAATTAATTATATGGCGGTACGTGGAGAACGTAACAAAAGGTTTCAAATAGTGTTGGTTACAACAGAACCATGTTGAAATTGAAATTGAAATTGAAATAAGTTTATTGAGGTAAAATACACACAAAGGGATGCGGTAGCTCAAGCTATTCTCACCCCGTTCAGTACATCGTTAGCATTGTAAATGTGTGGCCACGTCTGTGGTAGAAAAAAAAAAAAGTACATCGTGTTAATACATACATAGACACACATCACAAACAATAAACGTATTACCGAACATTCTGAGAGATAAACATATACATTTCCTCCTTTACACAAGTAGAACCATGTTGGTTCAGTTATAACCAACATAAGAGACCAAGGTTGACACATGAACCACACGAAGAAACAATTGGATGACACTGAAGAATAAGTTAAAAAAAAAAAATCTGGAGGGGACAGATATGACCAAATCAATGGGATCAGATTTTATCTCACCATGGCTGTTAAAGGAGGCTGCAGAAGAAGACTTGGGTAAATACTGGTTCGGTAACACGATTGTTGATTTGTGGAACCAATTACCGCGTAACGTGGTGGAGGTGGGGTCCCTCCATTGTTTTAAGCGTGGGTTGGACATGTATATGAGTGGGATTGGGTGGTTATAGATAGGAGCTGCCTCGTTCCCAATCTTAAAAGACTAAATATACACATGGAATATGATCACAACATACAAGATACTGAGAGGAATGGATAAGGTAGACAAGGACAGCCTCTTTAAATTAAAGGAAAGTAAGACAAGAGAACACAAGATGAATCGGGAAACACAATTGAGCTTGAGAAAGGTAAGTAAATACTCGTACCCTGTACCGGTGGTCAACAAGTGAAGGAAGAAGAAGTTGCGGAAACCACCTCTATCCACAACTTTAAGGCCAAACTCGACAAGGGGGAATATGAACATTAGGATAGCTAAATTATAATTCAACAGGTACAACAAGGTAACAAGGTTGTACAACAACCTTGTTGTACCAATTCCAAGGTTGTACAACAGGTACAACAACTGGGAGCCGGTCGGCCGAGCGGACAGCACGCTGCACTTGTGATCCTGTGGTCCCGGATTCGATCCCGGGCGCCGGCGAGAAACAATGAGCAGAGTTTCTTTCACCCTATGCCCCTGTTACCTAACAGTAAAATAGGTACCTGGGTGTTAGTCAGCTGTCACGGGCTGCTTCTTGGGGGTGGAGGCCTGGCCAAGGACCGGGCCGCGGGGACACTAAAGCCCCGAAATCATCTCAAGATAACCTCAAGAAGGGAAGGTTAGTAGGCGGAGCATACATTGCTAGACCTCACTCCCCATAGTCACTGATAGGTAAATACTGTTAGATAAGTACCTGTTGTTGTATAATCATAATAGTATGTATAATCAAAACAATCACAATGATCACCTGTACCACCAAGAATTCCCCCCAAACCCCCAAGAATTCCCCCAAACCCCCAAGAATTCCCCCAAACCCCCAAGAATTCCCTCAAAATCTCCAAGAATTCCCCCAAAACCCCCAAGAATTCCCTCAAAATCCCCAACAATTCCCTCAAAATCCCCAAGAATTCCCTCCAAATCCCCAAGAATTCCCCCAAAACCCCCAAGAATTCCCTCCAAATCTCCAAGAATTCCCTCCAAATCCCCAAGAATTCCCTCCAAATCCCCAAGAATTCCCCTCCAAATCCCCAAGAATTCCCCTCAAAATCCCCAAGAATTCCCTCAAAATCTCCAAGAATTCCCCCAAAATCCCCCAAAATTCCCTCCAAATCCCCAAGAATGTCCCCACCAGTACAGCAAGAGATCACCAGCAGTACACCAACAGTACAATATAGAGAGCAAGAAGCACTGAGGGAGGACATAGGAGTTGATAAAGGTTTGCGACACACACACACACAGAGAGAGCAGCAGCAGCAGCGGTGTAGGGTCCGCCGCCCGGGGGCTCCACTCGGCTCTGCTGACGCTAAAATGTGTAATGCAACCCTCCACCGCCCTGGAAATACACACTCAACTCTCAAATTAAATTTCAGTAATGCAAGAACTAAGTCGTTTTTTAAATCTTCGGGGAGATATGTCTCACATATCTGTCATTACACATCTGTCATTACACATACGTCATTACACATTTGTCATTACACATACGTCATTACACATCTGCTCTGTCAGAAGCGAGGGTTCCCCTCTCATTGCACTCGTTGAACACTATTCCAACATGAGATGGAATCCACATAAATTCCATTTTGTGACGTCATTTACTTGTATCTCATTTATGCTTTTCTTTCAATCCTCAACTAAGGACATGAAGATTTTATATCGACTGTTTAAGGAATCAAGTGCTCCTCGGCTATTGACAAATACAAAAACATCTTTTTCATCTTGACATACTTCCTGACGCACAGTTCTGCTTATGTGGATGACATATAATTACTAAGTCCAAGTTTAATTTTCCTGTCCACAGGTCCAAACTCGGTATATTATTAGGACACCACACCCTGCCCTCCTCCGCCACCGACCCGTCGCAATATACATGTAAACTATTGCCATGATATCTTGGTGACCCAGATATCACTCTTGGTGACCCAGATATCACTCTTGGTGACCCAGATATCACGCTTCCATACAAATATCGTAATTGTCCCGGTGCATGCTGAATCTTTTTCACCTTGAGGGGCACAATTTTGACTTCTATTTTCTGTACTTGCCAGGGAGCAGACTTATTACACTGTGGCGAGGGTTTGGCAGCAGTCAAGTACATCGTATTCCCTGAGGTCATTAGCTAATCCCATCTAATACCTGAGTTGTGTTTACTAGTTGTGTTTTTGCGGGGGTTGAGCTTTGCTCTTTCGGCCCGCCTCTCAACTGTCAATCAACTGTTTACTAACTACTTTTTTTTTTTTTTTTTTTATTTATTTATTTCCCACCCCACACACACACACACACACCCCAGAAAGCAGCCCGTGACAGCTGACTAACTCCCAGGTACCTATTTACTGCTAGGTAACAGGGGCACTTAGGGTGAAAGAAACTTTGCCCATTTGTTTCTGCCTCGTGCGGGAATCGAACCCGCGCCACAGAATTACGAGTCCTGCGCGCTATCCACCAGGCTACGATGCCCCTGTTTGGTGGTCACTGGACTGACCACCACACAGGTCACTCTCCCGCACGGCCCAGAGGTCACACCGGTGACCTCACTACTACCACTCATGCTTCTGGTTACCCGTCAAACTGTGCCCCCAACACTTACTTCTACCGTCCCGATACTCATCTAACACTTTACTTAACTTCACTTACTCGGCTACCTGATCCACCAGCTTATCCCGGTCCGTCTAATTACCACAAGCTACCACAAACTACACAAACTTCAGAAAGCTTCCTGGCAATACGTTAGTAATGAATAAATATGATATATTTACTCATTATAATGTTGGTGCTGAATGTACAACACGAAAAAACATAATTTTAATCTGAAAAAGTATCTTTTTATAAAGAAATTAGACGAAAATAAAAAGCTGGTGACGCCAAATCAAGTCGACGATCCAAGCTTCGGTTAGGTTAGGTTAGGTTTGGTTAAGTTAGGTTAGGTTAGGTTAGGTTAGGATAGGTTAGGATAGGTTAGGATAGGTTAGGTTAGGTTAGGTTAGGTCAGCCTAAATTAATATATCATATTTATTCATTACTAACGTATTGCCAGGAAGTTTTCTGAAGCGTGTGTAGTATGTGGTAGTTTTTGGTAATTAGACGGACCCGCTTATCCCAACCGGTTGCTGGCCATCCATATATAAACCAGTTAACAACGCAGTATGTCGTTGAAGAACATTGAAACAAGGTAAACGAATAATAGATATAGATATAGAATAATAGATATAGATATAGAATAATAGATATAGATATAGAATAATAGATATAGCTAACTCGATATATAATGACAAATAAATTACCTGACGAGAGAAAAGCCTTACCTTACCTTGAAGTTACCTTGAGATAATTTCGGGTCTTAGCGACCCTGCGGCCCTCCTGTTCTGATAGTACCTACAGTACCGATGAGGACCACAGTACATATACCGACGTACAACCCAATTCGAAAGTACAAATCGTTACTATTGAGTTGGACAGACTGGAAAACTCTCTTCTACTTATGTTGCGAAGAGAACTTAAAGTAACCTAACCTAACCTTCCTAGGTCTAATACACGCTCTCTGAGGCCTAATATAATACATTAGTGAGCTACACTAGGCCTAGGAAAACTTAAGTTTGTCTTGTTAGCTAATTTTTTTTCAGACTATAAAGTGAATAGTACAAAATTCTACTATCTAATTCTTTAGTACGTCAATGTTTGTACCATTACGAACATACTTACAAAAAGTACTCTCTAAACAGAAGGATGAGTGGCCATATCGCTGGCCATCTCACTGACCCTGCTGCCCTTGAGATGATTTCGGGGCTTTTTTTTTTAGTGTCCCCGCGGCCCGGTCCTCGACCAGGCCTCCACCCCCAGGAAGCAGCCCGTGACAGCTGACTAACACCCAGGTCCCTATTTTACTGCTAGGTAACAGGGGCATAGGGTGAAAGAAACTCTGCCCATTGTTTCTCGCCGGTGCCTGGGATCGAACCCAGGCCCACAGGATCACAAGTCCAGCGTGCTGTCCGCTCGGCCGACCGGCTCCCTGGGTGTCCGGACCGGCTCCGACCGGCTGGGTGACAAGGTCACCCAGCTTGTCACCCCGGCGTCACCACACCCCAGCTTGTCACCCCGGCATCACCACACCCCAGCTTGTCACCCCGGCATCACCACACCCCAGCTTGTCACCCCGGCGTCACCACACCCCAGCTTGTCACCCCGGCGTCACCACACCCCAGCTTGTCACCCCGGCGTCACCACACCCCAGCTTGTCACCCCGGCATCACCACACCCCAGCTTGTCACCCCGGCGTCACCACACCCCAGCTTGTCACCCCGGCATCACCACACCCCAGCTTGTCACCCCGGCTTCACCACACCCCAGCTTGTCACCCCGGCATTACCACACCCCAGCTTGTCACCCCGGCATCACCACACCCCAGCTTGTCACCCCGGCATCACCACACCCCAGCTTGTCACCCCGGCATCACCACACCCCAGCTTGTCACCCCGGCATCACCACACCCCAGCTTGTCACCCCGGCATCACCACATCCCAGCTTGTCACCCCGGCGTCACCACACCCCAGCTTGTCACCCCGGCGTCACCACACCCCAGCTTGTCACCCCGGCGTCACCACACCCCAGCTTGTCACCCCGGCGTCACCACACCCCAGCTTGTCACCCCGGCGTCAGCACACCCCAGCTTGTCACCCCGGCATCACCACACCCCAGCTTGTCACCCCGGCGTCACCACACCCCAGCTTGTCACCCCGGCGTCACCACACCCCAGCTTGTCACCCCGGCATCACCACACCCCAGCTTGTCACCCCGGCGTCACCACACCCCAGCTTGTCACCCCGGCGTCACCACACCCCAGCTTGTCACCCCGGCGTCACCACACCCCAGCTTGTCACCCCGGCGTCACCACACCCCAGCTTGTCACCCCGGCGTCACCACACCCCAGCTTGTCACCCCGGCGTCACCACACCCCAGCTTGTCACCCCGGCGTCACCACACCCCAGCTTGTCACCCCGGCATCACCACACCCCAGCTTGTCACCCCGGCGTCACCACACCCCAGCTTGTCACCCCGGCATCACCACACCCCAGCTTGTCACCCCGGCGTCACCACACCCCAGCTTGTCACCCCGGCGTCACCACACCCCAGCTTGTCACCCCGGCGTCACCACAC